CGAAACGCCCGGTCCGCCAAACAAACTAGCCTCGGGGTGCGACAGGGAGAGAAGTTGTTTATAAGGAAAAGGAATGGAGCAGGAGGAGGGAGGAGGAGGACGAAGAGGAGGAGGAGGCGGAGGAGGAGGGAGGAGGAGGAGGAGGAGGTGGAGGAGACGGAGGAGGATGAGGAGGAGGAGAAAGAGGGGGCGAAGGAGGAGAAGGTGGAGATGAGGAGGAGAAGGGAACAGGAACAGGGAGGAGGAGGAGAAGGAGGAGGGAGGAGGAGGAGGAGTGGAGGAGTGGAGGAGGAGGAGGAGGACGAGGACGAGGAGGGGAGGAGGAGGAGGGGAGGAGGATGATGAGGGTGGAGGACGAAGAGAGGAGGAGGAGGAGGAGGAGGAGGAGGAGGGGATGATGATGATGATGATGATGGTGATGTGTGATGCTGCTGCTGGCTGATGATGATAATGATGCTGATGCTGATGATGATGATGCTGATATGATAGTGATGATGATGCTGCTGCTGATGATGATGGTCATGCTGCTGATGATGATGATGGTGATGGTGATGGTGATGGGATGATGATGATGATGCTGCTGATGATGATGATGAGGAGGAGGAGGAGGAGGAACAGGGAGGAGGCGGAGGAGGAGGAGGAGGAGACCAAGGAGAAGGAGGGTGAGGAGGAGTAGGAGTAGGAGGAGGAGGAGGAGGAGGAGGAGGAGGAGGAGGGAGGAGAAGGAGCAGGAGGAGGAGGAAGGGAGGAGGAGGAGGAGCAGGAGGAGGAGGAGGAGGCGGAGGAGGAGAAGGAGGAGGAAAGAGGAGGAGGAGGAGAAGGAGGAGGAGGAGGGAGGAGGAGGAGGAGGAGGAGGAGGAGGAGGAGGAGGAGGAAGAGGAGGAGGAGAAGGGGAGGAGGAGGATGCAGCGGAAACAAGAGGGATGTCGCGCCTCGGCGCGACGAGCCCTAGCTCGAGGCAGGCGTGCTGAGAAGCTTCGCATGGGATTGGCGCCGCCGCGGTCTCGTTAGCGCCGGGACATACTTGCATCGCGAAAATATCACGACCTTTGTTGTTATGCTATGTTTCATGTGTTGTATTTTCTGACTCTGGGGGGCCCTCGGTGAGCCCGGGAACCGTCCACAAAAAAGGCTTTGGATGCGCAGCCGGTCCCGGGGGAAGGGTTCGGGGCATCGTTCCCCAATCAGAGCTTGCCTCTGTAGGGGTCCTAGCTGATTAAAGGATTAGGTGGGAGGTGCGGCCGATTTCTGTCGCCGGGCCCGGGTGCCCAGCGGTGCCCAGCGGTGCCCAGCGGTGCCCGGGTGCCCGGGTGCCCGGTGAGGTGCGTGGCCGATTTCGGTGGCCGGGCCCGGGTGCCCCGGTGCCCGGGGGCCCGGGGGTGCCCGGGTGCCCGGGGGTGCCCAATAGCCCAGTAGCCTTATAGCCCTATAGCCCTATAGCCCTATAGCCGTATAGCCCTATAGCCCTGTAGCCCTAAAGCCTTATATCCCTATAGCCCTAATAGCCTTATATCCCTATAGCCCTATAATTAGCCCCATAGCCCATATAGCTCTATAACCCCATAGCCCTATAGCCCTATGGCCCTATAGGTCACAGTCCTATAGTCCTATAGCCCTATAGCCCTATAGCCCTATAGCCCTATAGCCCGATAGCCCGATAGCCCTATAGCCCTATAGCCCTATAGCCCTATAGCCCTTTAAGGGAGCAATTGGAAGATTAACAAAATCTGATTGATGTTTCTCTCCGGTATCATATGTCTGGTCCAGACGTACGATGCCCTGTCCCAGACAGTCTGGGTCAGGGCCTGGACCAAAACACGTGAAGCCAGCTGGTAGTCAAGCGGTCACTGGTGCCGGAGCTGCACGGGCGCGTCGGGCGCTGGGCACGGCGCGCAAGGCCCAGTCGTATGCAGACGCTGCCTTTCGTGTATCGGCCAGGCGTTCCGCAGGCATGGCTCTCCGGTGCAGAGATGCACACGTTTGGTGGAGGCAGCAATGCCCGGCAGTCAAGCCCACGGTCAGGAGTTATGAGCCTTAGCGTGTTGCTCAGCACGTTCTGGCCCCTCACGCCTCACGCCTCGGTTCGGCGCGCGATCCACCTCCTGGCCGCCCGGCGTCGACGCCCCGAGCTTCTCCCAGCCCCCCGCCCCGCGGAGCGGAGCAGCACGCCATCCACTTGCCAGGCACAGCGTGTCGCCAGGGCCGCCGCCGCGACACGCTGAGCAACGAGCAACAGTTCCTGACCGTGGCCTGACGCGTACGTCTGGCGTCGTGCTCACTCCACATCGTGGGCCCCGAGAGGTCCGAGCCCCATGCCTTTCCCGGAACCGGCTTTTCACCCCAGGCCGTTTCTGGACGGGCACTAGGGTCCAGCATTGCGGCAAGGGCCCCATGGATGATGGGCCTGTTTTCCACAACCACCACCATAAGTTGGAGTGGGAGGGGGTCCTCCTCCTCCTCCTCCTCCGCCTCCTCCTCCTCCTCCTCCTCCTCCTCTTCCTCCTCCTCCTCCTCCTCCACCTCCCTCCTCCACCTCCTCCTCCCTCCTCCTCCCCTCCATCCGTAGCCATTTTGGCTCAAGTTCGAAACGCTTCCCTGGCGCTTCGAGCTTGATCGCTGCCGAGGGGGCGGCTCAGAGCGCCCCCCTTGCGAGGACAGGCCTCGCGGCACAGGAGCTTCAGCGCCCGTGCTTTGTGGCTCACCACCTGGCCCTCTGGGCCCTTCGCGTTTCCACGCACTTTTGTCCGCAGTACTTCTCTTTCATATCTTCGTCTAGCATCTGTTCATGCCAAGCGATGGGACCTCCGCCTCTCGCAGCGAACGTGGAAAGTCGCAGCACCGTCGCCGTCGCTGCTGGCTCTACTGGTGGCCACCGTGGCCCTGGCGCTGCTCATCCACTGGCTGACATTCCCCATGACGAACGGGCGCAACTCGCTGCAGCCGTTGATCTCGCACCGACGTTCCCTGACCATGAACGACCCCCACCACGAGCTGAGGCCCCACAGCCGCTCCGATCCTCTTCAAGGTGATGGTGATCCTTGCTGTGAGCAGCGTCCCCAGCCGGCTCCGCTCACCACGGTCGAGAGCATCGAAGCCGCGGTCGCGGCGGCCTTCCAGCAGCAGCTCGGGGGGGTGCGCACCGAGGTCAACACTATCATGAGCACGGCGCGCTCCAACATGCGGGACACGGTGCTGGAGCTCATGCGCCCCCAGGCGGCTCGGTTGGACGGTCATGACCACGTTATCAGGCGGCTCCAGGACAAGACCGACACCATGGCCCAGGACCAGAAGGTGCTCCGCGACGACCTGGACGCCGTGCAGCGGAGCCTTGCCCAGGCCCAAACTGCTCAAGACACGGCCATCGACTTGGCCAGGCTCGCCACCTACGACCGCCCCGCCGACCCGAGCGTCTTCCGCAGCCCACCGCCGCCAGCGAGATCGAGGTGGCCATCGCCGATTGGGTCAAAGGACGCGGGCCTGGAGTCCAGTCAATGTGCTCTTCACGGCGATTCTCCTGGCAAGCTCTTTTATCTTCATCTCCCAGGTGGCCCTGCTGGCGTCGCCCGAGCCGTTCGCCTCGCGCAGCACCTTCAACTTCCAGGTGGCAGCTGGCGACGCTTCACGGCCAAGAGCGTCACGGGAGCACAGGAGGCCTTGTACGTCAACCCCGACAAGAGCCCGAAACAGGTGAGGCGCCAAGTTCATGGGACACGTCTTCTCGGAATCTTGCAGCGCACCTACCAGGACAAGGACTGGAAGCTCCTCCGGTCCAGGGGCATCATCATCATCAACGCGACGCTCATCGCGGAGATCTCGCCTCAGGGAGTGGACGAGCCGACTCGATTGGCATGGTCTCCGCAGGTGGTGGCAGAGCACAACGTTGACTTCCAGGGCGTCAGCACGCAGTTCAAGCAACAGCTCCAGAGCGTGGACACTTCAGCATGGACTTCATTATCCCAGCAGACGGTTCCAGCCCTGGGAGATCAACGGTGGAGACCGGCATGGTCCACGGGTTGCCCTGTGGAGCGCTCGCGGACTCTACTGCTGGAACCACAAGCTGCGACGTCAGAAGCTCAACAAGATCAGACACCTCCTCCGACGGCGACACCTGATTCTGGTTCAAGAAGTACACGGCAACGAGATGACGCTCACCACCTTACTGGACCAGCTGCCCGTGCACTACCGTGTCTTCTACAGCGGCTTCCCCACCGAACATGCTGCATCACGCCCGCAGGACCCTGCTGCTCCTGCGCTGGCTGACGGCGAGCCTGCCTCGGATGAAGTTGATAACCGTACTGGTGGAGTTGCTATCAATCGTGCCGTGGCATGTTCCGTCTCATGCACGACAGCTCCCTGCTCACCTTTAGCCACAGTTCTCGCGCGCTGTTCTCGTCCCTGGACGGATTCGCATGCTCGAGGTCACCAGCGGCGACGGCCGCACGATCAGGGTCATCGACCACCACAACTACGGCATCGACTTGACTGCTCGGGCGGTGATCCGTCAGGCTTGGATGCGGAATCTTGATTGGGTACAACAGAACGAGCGGACATGGCTGGCGATCCATGCTGGCGACTTCAACGTGAGCAACTACAAGAACCAATCGCTCCTATTCCCTCGTCAACGGCAAGCGCGGCGTTCGCCAGGTGACAGGGCCACTCGGTCAGAGCCGTTCTGGAGATCTCTCTTCGATGGTGGCATGCTGGAGGTCGAGAGTCCCCTGCCGACCCACTTCGACAGATCCTCGCACGCGTTCAACACCATCGATCGCTTCTTCATCTCGCCAAGCACGCAGTACGCGACGGATTGCGACATCTCGATCCATATCCTGCAGGAGGCCGACAAGTTGAGTGACTTCGCGCTTTCGGACCACGCTATCGTCGTCCTGCATCTTCAGCCTCGGCGCCCCCCGCCAGCTGAGCTTCAGAGTATCCCGGCCTACTTGTTTCGCAATGCGAGGTTCAAGGAGATTCTTTAGACAGCATTGACTGCGCTGGCTTGGATGGCCCTTGATGCGCAGCAGCGGTGGCAGAAGATCAAGGTTCTGATGCGCATGGTGGCTGGTCTCGCCAGAGATCAACTGCAACGGGGTCTTCCCCTGGCGGCGCTCAACCTCGTGGCCAACGCGGAAGGGAAAGAGAAGCGCATTTTCCAAATCCATAGTTTCCCCTTCTCTTACACAGACCGACGTGGACCAGCTCGAGACGGAGGGCTTGGTGCTTCGCATGGCGGCTCGAGCTGTCTGGCGCCAAGATGCACGGCTTGCCCGTCGTCTTCATGGCCCCTCTGCTCTCGCTCGTCGCAACTTGGCCTTCGCGGACAGCGGCGTCGTCTACATCGCTGATGGGGGGGGCCTTCAGGAACCGTGCGATGGACTGCAACCAGGGCCGCTTCGACGCGATCGGACAGCGCCCAGCTCGCGCTGGACGCCGTCGCCGACAGCAGCCGCAAGGTGATGGCTCTCCAGCTGGCGTTCCAGAGATGGCCAAGGTACAGGTCACAAGTATGCGGCGGGCGCTGGCTTGGAACCCGACGCAGCGTCGGCTCGTTTTGGATGGCTTCAAGCACGATCAGCCGGCAGACGGCGCGATCATCAGGAGCCCAACCGACATGGCCAATGCGACCCGCGAGCACTGGGAGCCCGTCTTCGCAGCTGCCTCTGGCAGCGACGAGGCCATTCCTGAGTATCTGGTCCAGCACCTTCCCTCCTTTTCACCACTTGACCTTCCTCTCCCTACTCCAGAGGACCTTCCCGGAGCTTTGCGCCGAGGACGGGCCTCCTCCCCTGGCCCGAATCGTTTGCCGTGCGCCGCGTGGAAAGCCGTGCCAGTAGCAGCTGAGCTCCTCTACGATGTGTTGTTGCGGCTATTTTCAGGCGGGGGCCCTGTCGAAGGCATGGATCAGTCGAAGTTTGCTTTCATCCCGAAAAGTGAAGACCCACGAGATCTCACTGACTGCATCCGCGATGCGGCCTCGCTCAGGTCGTTAACTTTAAATAATACCGACAGTGAAGCTCTCGCCCAAACCGTCAACATACACCTGAGTACAGTAGCCAAAGGACGTGTCCACAGGGTCCAGCAAGGTTTCATAGGAGGTCGCAAGTTTGGGAATCAGATTATAAATCTCGACGCTGGAACTAGGCTGACCAGTTTGGGCGACGACGCCAGTGAACGGCGGTCGCGTTTCGTTTCCTTTGATTTCCGAGCTGCTTTCCCGAGCATGTCTCAACAGTGGCTCCGCGCGTGCTCCGTAGGTTCGGACTCTCCCGAGGCTACCTCACTGCGCTGGAAGCTCTGTCCGCGGGATCGGTTGGATATTTAAACGTGGGTTCACAGCGGGTCCGTCTTTTTGAGATTCCCCGCGGTGCCCCGCAGGGGTGCCCTCTGTCCGGCACTTTGTGGGCTTTGGGAATGGGCCCGCTGGTCCGCCACCTGGCGCAATCGTGCGAGGCTGCCTCGCAGGTGATGGCCCCAGCTGCGCCCCCCCCCCCATCCCCAGGGGATCGACAGGCGAGCGCATTAGCCGGGTGTTCCCCTCTCCTGCTCTCACCGCCGCTGCTGGTGCGTGCGCTGACGACGTCGGTGTTTCTCTTCCCTCTCTCGCGCTCATTCCTCTCGCCGGACAGCCCTTTCGGCCAGCGGCGGAGTTGGCGATGCTTGAGCTTCAGCCGAAGAAATGCCGCCGGGTTCCCACGTGGGCGATTCTGGGCCCAGGGGGGATCGAAGCCCTTCGTGAAACGATTCGGTCGCTCGTGCCCGCGTGGGCGGAGCTCACCATCTGTAGTTCTTGCCGACACCTTGATTTCATGCTCGGCCCAGGCGCCGCGGAGGAAGATCAATTCCTTGCGAGTGGCCAGACATGGTGGCCACGCGGCCGCGCGGTAGCGGCGACCCGTGCGCCTGCGGAGGCGTGCCTGCGGCTCTATGGCATCCTGATTATCCCCTGTCTCTCCTACCTCTGCCAGTTCTTCTTTCTCCCTTTTACCCTTCTCCAGGAAGAGCTGCTCGCGCTGCGCAAACTCTCACGTCTGCCTCCATCTAGTTTCTCTCTCGCGGAGCTGTTGTCTCTCCAGTGGCTCCACATGCCCGAGCCGCTTCGAGCCATGAGTGTCGCTGTGATTTGGAGGGCGGCGGGGCGGACGTTCAGAGGGTGGGGGATTGTTGGTCGAAGCTTCGCGCTTGAGCCTTCGCGGAGGCGCCCGCAGTTCAGGCGCTCCGAGCCCGCTGGTGTGCTCCGCGCTGGCGTGCGCGATTCAGCACTGCACAACGATATGCTTCGCTTTTTGATCCTACCCCTGGTGCCTCCCTCTTTGGTCGCCCCCTCTCGGCTGGAGTTGCCGCTCCTCCTGTCCGATCTTCCCCCCGCTCTTTTTCGCTTTCCCGGTCATCGGGCAAGCTCGCGCGCTCCCGCTGGCTCGTGCGCAGGAGAGGAGACGTCGTCACAAGCCGGCTGCGTGGCAAGCTCTCTTCTCTGCTTCTCTTCGCTCCCAGATGCTACCTGACGGCGTGCCTGCGCCCATCAGTCGAAGATTCCGCTTCTACTTTCCTGAGGGCCCCTGCCCTCCTGCCCCCATCCTTCGTCTCCGATGGCAGCGTCTCAAGGCCCATCTCAGCGGAGTTCCGCCGTCTCACGCCTGGCCTGACATCAAATCGTTGGCTGGTGCGTGGATCACCAGCGGGAGAGTTAAGATCCTCCCCCAGAGCGCGTGCAAGTTCGGATGCGTTGATCGCCCTGACGCCTTTCCGCACTACCTCTTGTGCCCGAGGCTCTGGGCCGCCACCGACCTCGGACCCCCTCCTCTTCCTGGGCCTCTGATGCGTTTAGGGTTGGGGGATCCCCAGGACTTCGTGGACGGGGGGTCGGATGGCAGCGGGCCCATTGTGCCCTAGTTCCGACTTTTCACATTTACCACGAGTTTCGGCCCCGCCTGGGCTCAGCGGTTGTCGCAACCGACTCCCAGCTGTACCAGGCCCGCAGCGCCGCGCGTGCTGCCCCCCCATATGTAACGGATCACGCCCCCCCAGGTGACGTGTGCTCCACCTCCCTCCCCCCTCCAGCATATGGTGGTGGTGGTGGTGGTGGTGGACAGCCGGCCCATCAATGGAGGCCGAAACCGACGACGCACCGCGCGCCGTGGTTGTTTCAAGACGCGAGGGGGCGGGGGAAGGACGATGCCCCCTGCGCGCCTGCCGCCGCCCGCGGGGCCTGGAGCGGGCGAGGGCGCGGGCATAGTAGTATGGCGGGGCTCTCCGTCTTTGCTGCGGCCTGTCCTCTGCTTGCGTGCCCGTGTCCGCGTGCCCTGCTGTACTCGGCCGGCGGCTTGGCCCGGCCCGCGAACGCTCAAAAGGGTGTGTGCGTGTGTGTGTGTGTGTGTGTGTTTCTGTGTGTGGGTTCTGCACGCTCTGAGAGGCCCGCCGCGCGCGCGCCCGCCCGTTCGGTGGCTTTCGCCGCTTCGACGCTGCGTGCGAGGCCGCGACCGCCAAAAAGTTTGCGTGCGTATGTGTGTGTGTGAGTGTTTTGTGTGTGTGTGTGTGTGTGACTGTGTGTGTGTGCAGGTAGTGTTTCGTGCAACTGGACCCGCTCCCTTCTGCCGTTCCCCTCGCATTTGGTCCTTTGCCCCAGTGACAGGGAGGAGGTTGATTATCCTGTTGTAGTCCCCCGCCGGCCAGAGGGTCGGTGGGATGCCTGGATCCACCGATGCCGGTGAAGCACGCACAGATCGCCGAGGCCGTGCTACAGCCGATTGCATGTTGAATGATCTCACAGATGATGTTTTCTATGTCTGTCGAGCACAGTACTTGCTAGGCAGTTTCCCGAGGGTCCGTGGTTGCCTCCAGGCCTGCGCCGAGGCCCCCCGTGACGCTGACACGAGAGTATCGCCAGGGAGGGTGCTCCTGGTGTTGTGGTCCCCCCATCTCGCCCGATACATCCCCAATCCCCAGCTCGGGAAGGCATCGTGGACCTCCTCGCTGGAGATGCCCCCCCTTTTGGTCCGATGCATCCCCGATCCCCAGCTCGGGAAAACATCGTGGACCTCCTCGCTGGAGATGCCCCCCCTTGCGGCGGTGGTGGTGGTGGTGTCGCACCGCCTCTTTCCCGCGACAAGTGTCCTCCTTCCCTTCTTGATCTCATCCCTGTAGGCTGGCAGTCCAGCCCGCTTGGCCTCTGGCGAAGGTCTGCGGTCCGTGAGCAAGTCCTTGACGCGTTGGGCCTCGAAGAGGCCGGCCCCGCCTGGGGTCCGGGCTGGGGGCGAGGCCCGTCCCAGTCCATCGAAGGGGGCTCGAACTCGGACACGCGGCCGCTTTCGTGTGAGCTCGTTGGACTGCTGGAGGCCCGCCCCCAACTTCGACATCCCATCCCATCCCTGGGCATGCGGCGTCTCGGCTTCTTCGAGGCGCGGGCCCCCGACCTCTCGACCCTTCCCCCGGGCCCGGAGCTTCGTCCCGAGCTCTTGCCTCTCTGACGGCCCCGAGGCCCGAAAGCGAGGGCCCCGCGGGGCCGCAGCGGCGTGTGCAGCACCTCCGCCTCGTTGCTGTTCCGAGGCGGCGGGTGTCTGCGCCTCGTGATGGCCAGCACTGCCTGGGCCGAGCCTCCTGAGCCGCGGGCGCCGCACGGCGGCCGCGCCCGCCCGCGCGGCCAGGCCGTGGGCATTCTGGCTGCCGCCGCGCCGGCGGTCGAGGCGGCGCCCGCCGCCGCCGAGGAGCCACCGCAGGCGCGCGCGGGCCGCCTGGCCAGCGACGACGACGACGTCTCGGCTCGGAGGAGGAGCAGACACCCATACCGCTGCCCTTCCTTCAGTTCCCCCCTCGTCCCCTGCTCGTAACGCGCACCAGGAGAGGTCTGGGGAGAAGCGGTATCGGTACCTTTTGGTTTCCCTTATCGGCCACGCGCACAAGGGGGTAACGGGAGGGGCGAAGGGCTTCTGAGAAGCACCTTTGCTTCTCAGAAGGCGCGGGCCTTCTCTACAGATGCAGGGCCAGCGCCTTCTGAGAAGAGGCCTCCTTCTAAGAAGCCTTCCCCCTCCCCCTACCCCTTGTGCGCGCCGCCAACCTCCGGCGGTCTATCGGCGATGCACCGTGGATTCCGGGTAAGGCGACGCAAAGGACAGAAGGGGTCGTCTTCGACGACGTTGGCGCGTGGGCTGCCCGCGTAAGGTCGCGCGTGAGCGCCCTTGTTTCCGATGCAGCGGGTTGCGCTGGCGGCCCGCAGTGGCCGCCGCGTGAGGTCGCGGTGCCATCACGCGTGAGACCCATTTTCTCTTCCTCCTCCTCATCTTCTTCCTCTTTCTCCTCCTCCTCCTCCTCCTCCTCCTCCCCCTCCTCCTCCTCCTCCTCCTCCTCCTCCTCCTCCTCCTCCTCCTCCTCCTCTTCCGCTGGTGCGCGGACGACCTGGGCGCTGGCCTCAGAGGCCGCGCAGGCCTTCGCGTCGTCGCTCGCGTGTTCAAGATGGCCAGGCTCCTGGCGGGTTTGAAGATCAAGCCCAGCAAGTGCTTCGGCATCCCCCTGGGCGCCCCCTTCGAGGAGACCCTCGCCGCGCGGGCGAAGCAGCTCCTCGCGGAGGTTTGCGAGCCCTGGGCTGCCTTCACGGTCTGCGACGTGCTCGAGTACCTTGGTGTCCTGATGGGCCCCGGCGCGGAGCCGTCGGCGCAGTGTGCGGCGCCGCTCCAGAAGCTCCAGGATCGCGTGGGCGATGTCGCGAGGACCGGGGCTGCCGCGCATGCCTCGGCGCTCCTCTGCGCCGAGCGCTGCATCACGGTCCTCGGCCACAGGGCGCAGCTGCTGGAGCCGCCGCAGGCCCCGCCCAGGCTGGAGCGCGCCCTCCTCCCGCGCCTCCTCGGCCTGCCCGGGTCCTCCCTCGGCGACGGCGAGTGGCAGGAGCTCCCTGCCCGTCGGTGGCCCGCCGATCCGCTTCGCCAGGCTGTGGTGCCAGACCTGCCTCCTCCGATCGGCGACGACGGCGCTCACGAGCTGGAGGCAGGAGGCGTCGGCGCTGAGGACGGCGTACGCCGGCTTCGCGGCTCCCCCTGGCCCGACCCGGTGGCGCTCGCAGGCGATGGCCATCACCCTCGAGCGGGCTGCCCAGTGCGCTGGCGCTTCGGCACGGGCGCTCGCGCTTGCCGAACTCCGAGAGACACCGAGGAACACGGCTGGCGGCGGACCTCCGCACCGTCGTGGATGGGGAACGTGCCGCCTCTGCCGCAGCAGATGGCGGCGGGGGCGTGAGCCATGAGCCGCGCCCGCCAGCGGCGCCTGAGGAGCGCGCGGGCGGCCCCCGCTTGCGCCCACAGGCGATCCTCTGCTCGTCCCTCCTGCGATCTTCGCTCCCTCGTCCTCCTGCTCCTCCCCGTCTGCACTGTCGACTGTCCTCTCGTCTGCAGCGCTGGTTTGGGGTCCGCGCTGCCGAGGCGGCGGCGATTGACTGGGCGGCCGTCGCGGACGCGATGCATCGCGTCCCTCCCTGTTGCATCGAGACGTGGGGTGGGGGCTGGATCTCTGAGTCAAGGATGCGTAACCCGTGCAGGGGGTGCGTTTGGGGATGTCCTAGGGAGCGCGACTCGCTGAAGCATTACTTCTCCGGGTGTTCGCCTACCGCAGGCGCCTCCCGTGGTCCAGCCCGGCGGACAGGCCACGTCGGAGCCGCGGCCTCCCGCGTCCCGAGCGGCGCGGAGCCTCGCCGGGGCCAGCGGGCCCCACGAGCTCCTCCTGCGAATTCCACGAGGGCCGGACGACTCCCCAGACCCCCCTCGAGTTGTGAACAAAATCATGACGTGAGGTTTTCCCTTAGTTTCGGCTTCTGGAGGCCCTCGCCAAGCCTCGGGAGCGTCCGAAAACGATGCAGGATGAAAATCTTGTCCTCGGGAGGGGGTTCAGACTTCTGAGGGTCATGTCAGGAAGCAATCACGACGTCGGGGGTCTGGATCTCCTCCAATCTCATGGCGCCAACATCGCAGAGCTGATTTCGTTTGGAAAATATTGGGAAGGGCCAGGAGTGTCCTGGATAATTTCGTTCCAGATTTCGATCGGAACTCCATATTTTCTTTGCCTGGAATGAAGATTACAACAAATCCACGTGACATTCACGTCGTTTTTCGCTCGCCGTTCTGGGGTTCTCCATTTGGCAGAAATCCACGCGAAAATCCGCTGCAGCACGTCTGCAAGGTCGGTGCAATGACCAATCGACTTGCTGGGATGAGGCCAGACCAATCGAGATAGATCTTCCAAGGAGTAAGAGGTGCCAATAGTGCTACGCCTGCCTCGAGTTCCCTTCTTTGGGCCTCCTGGGAGGCCTTCCCTCGTCGCCACCGCTGGATTCGCCTCGAAATGTTCGTCAGAACGGACCGCAGGAGAGGTCCGGGGAGCAGCGGTATCCGTACCTTTTGGTGTCCCCAGATCTGCAGCAGCCGACGAACGTCTTGAGAGCATCGAGGGACGTCCAGAAAGATCAAGAGAAATCTGAAGAGATCGTGGCAGCCGCAGCGCGAGCCAAGGGACAGCAGAGGTCAACGAGCGACGGGCGACGTGCATCGGTGCCGAGTCGGCGGCGGCCAGGGGGGTCAGGTGCAGCCGCAGCCGCCCCCGCCCCCCGGCTGGGCAGGGCCGCTGCGGCCGCAAGAGCCGAGGTTGAGCTACGGCGCGGAGGCGGCTTCTCGTCCTCCTCCGTCTCCTCTTCCTCCTCCTCATTCTCTTCCTCCTCCTCATTCTCCTCCTCCTCCTCCTCCTCCTCCTCCTCCTCTTCCTCCTTCCCCTTCCCCTTCTCCTCCTGCTGGGAGTCCATGCGGGGCTTCTCGGGAGCGCTCCAGAGGTTGTTGAGGTCCTGGGGTGCCCGTGTGGCTGGGCTGGAGCCCGCGGCGCCAGCGCCAGCAGGTTGAAAGGGGGGAGGAGGAGGGGAGGCTGAGGCGCGAGGAGGGGGAGGAGGAGGATGAGGTGGATGAGGAGGAGGCGGAGGAGGAGGAGGACCAGTTTAAACCCAATAATCATCAACGATGTTGGAATGTACCCTTCCTCCAAGCTTCCTCTTCACATTCCCCTACAAGGGTTCATTTCCACTAGGGAACTGCCTCGTTGGACGACAACCGTTTGAAGATCTGGAAGCATGTCAAAACATTGTTATTGAGATTCCAACGCTTTGGATCAACCTGACTGCTGCGTCTGGACGATACTGAATCGTGCCAGAACGCCATTCCTGGAACTTAAACACCGCGAATCAACGTAACTGTTGTGCCCTCATACCAATCCTGAATCCCTCTGGAAAGCAATTTCTAGCAGGCTGATCATGGGAAACCGTGAAACTCTTACACATGTCTTTTAAACGAATATGTGCGCGGCGCATTGAACAGGAACCGCCGTCAATCCGTGAAACTCTTGCAACTGTGTAAGGCGAATGTGCGCGGCGCCAAGGCGAGAGGCACATGTTGAAAAGAACCCACCCTCAATCCGTGAAGCTGCTACAATTGTTTAAGACGAATGTGCGCGGCGCTTAGGCAAGAGCCACATTTTGAAAACGGGTGGCCCTCAATATGTGAAATTCTTGCAAGTTGTTTAAAACGAATGTGCGCGGCGCTAAGGCGAGAGCCACATTTCGAAAACGACCCGCCCTCCATCTGTGAAGCTGTTGCCAATGTTGAAGCTTAAGGGTCATACGTGGTGAGGACGTCTCAGGCGAAACGCCCCGCCCGCCTTAAAAACTGGCCTCGGGGTGCGACACGGAGAAGTTAATAATCAGGAGAAGGAGGAGGAGAAGGAGGAGGAGGAGGAGGAGCAGGAGGAGCAGGAGGAGGAGTAGGAAGAAGGAGGATGATGATGAGGAGGAGGAGAAGAAGGAGAAGGAGAAGGAGAAGGGAGGAGGAGCACGCTGAGGAGGAGGAGGAGGAGGAGGAGGAGGAGGAGGAGGAGGAGGGGGAGGGTGGAGGAGGAGGAGGCTCGAGGCTCGTGGGCATCGTGGCTTGGGCCACGAGGTCTCCCAGAACTTCTGGCACTCCTCTTCGGTCGACGCATCCCCTGGCCCCCATTCGGTTCGCGCACATGCCTCGGACCATGAGGTGCACCGCCGCCGGCGTGTTCGTCGTCGTCGTCGTCGCCGTCGTCGGGTCGGAGGAGGCATGAGATGGTGCAGCAAGCCCACCCGCTGAGCCGTTTGGGCGCGAGGATGTCCGCGCTTCGCTTTGTGGATAAGGGGGGGCGTTCCTTTGGATGTGAATGCTGCTCGTGATCCGCCATGCTTGCACCTCTTTCGCTGCTGCTGCGAGACATTCGGTGCACGTCTGACTGACAGGTGTTGTCCCGCTTTCCCATCGATCGTTGAAGGTATGCGTTTGGGATTCCCATATGCCAATATACTTTAGGCGCCTTCCTGTGTATTTCTTTCGAGGGATGGGTAAGGCTCATCTCTTTTTTGGGACGCCCGTAGATGTCCGTCAGAGTCGTACTCCAAGGTTACTTCAATCCGTTTGCCAAGGCGGACCTCTTGCTGCTCAGCTGACCGCTTGCACGCGTATTGTGGTATTCTCGTGTTGCCACGACGTCAACCTCTCTTCTTGCGCCAGCAAGTTTACATTTCACGTCAGTCCAAGCCGTCGTGTTACCACGACGATGTGGACAAATGCCCCGCTCCCTGAGATAGTGAGAAGCCGACGGAATTTCCATCCTGAGTTCCTGGCCGAACTTGCAGCTACTCGGCGGCAGTTTTCAACCGCGAGCTTCTCCGTGACGCCCAGGCCCCAGGGTATTTCGCCCTCCAGGGCCCCCCAGACGGCCCCGGGAGAGACTCGGGACTCTCTGCCGGGCTTCCCACGCGGCGCCGGAAAGCCTCGGGACGGCCGGGAACGCCTCCGAGACAGCCCGAAAGGGCGCTGAGGCTCCCACGAGCACCCAAAAGAGCGCCAAGAAGCCTCCAACAGGCCCCCAAGTCCGATCAAGACCGTCCAAAGGAGCTCCGATGAGAGCCGAGATACGGTGAGATAGGCAAATTCTGTAAAACACCATAGAAGCACATACATTCACATCATTCACATGTGTTTCCTGTTCCTGTATTTTTACTACCCGGATCTCCCCCCCCTTCCCTAAACCGGACCCCCCCCAGGGACGCCCCGGACGCTTTTTCGGATGTCTCGGCGGCCCCTGGACGCTCTTGGAAAAGTCCCGCTGGCCCTTCTGGGCCTCCCAGGGCGCCGTGCCGGGCTTTGCGAGCAGACTCCAGACGATCAGAGGGGTCATCGGAGAGGCGCAAGAGAGGCCCAAAACAGCACAAGAGCGCTCCAAGAGGAACCTCGATGATCTGAAGATGGCCCAAGAGGCCCCCAAGACGCCCCAAGAGGCCGTTAAGAGAGCCCCGGATAAGCAGTTATCGTCCCATTCCCTGAGTGAAATCTATGTGTGTATATATATATATATATATAGCAGCAGCGTCCAAGACGGCCCGATGGGCCCCCGATATCGCCCCATGACGGCCCAAGAGGCCCCCCCAGAGGGTTTGAAGAATGCCCAAGAGGGCCCCCAGACTGCCCCAGAGAGCCCCGAGACTGCCCACAAGAAGCTCAAGATGGCCCCAGAAGGCTCCCACGAGAGACTCACGAAAGCCACGGGGGACCCCCAAGAAGGCCACTGGAGGCCCCCAAGAGGGCCCTAGATGGCTTCAGAAGACCTCCGGAGGGCCCAAAGCGCCCCAAGACGGCCCAAGAGGGCCCCAGGACGGCCCAAAAGAGCCCCAAAAACGTGCAGACGGCGTTCTCCTACGAAGTATATCGAGCTGGCACGACGATCTTGGTTCCACGCTTGAGGCTCGAGGTTTAAGTTCCTCGGTCGAGAGAGACAGGCAATGGATCTAGATTCGAAATTCGACGAACGAAGAGTTCCTGAGTGCCTGGGGCCGTCCAGGCATTCAGAAAGCAACCAAACATTGATGTGTTCGGAGCCACTGTGGCTTCTTCGGCGTGTCATGGGAACGCTCTTTACTCCCTCAAAGGATCTTCGCGCGTGAACAAAAAACAGCATTCCCTCCCCACTCTTGCGCGCAAGCGTGCAAGCGCATCGGGCGAACGCGGTGCCAGCAGGCACCAGGGATACCAGAAAAATGAGCCAGTCGCCCGTCCAGGCCTCGATGTCCCCCTGCTGAAGCAAGCGATGATTTATTGTTTTGCCGGAGAAGCGTCCATAACAAAACTACATTGGCGCGAAGCGCCAATGCAGTCTTGCGCGTATGCACACACATATATGTATATGTATATTCACATATATATATATATATATGTATGAATATGTATATATATATACTATGTATATGTGTATGTATTTGCATATCTGTATGTATGTGTTATATATATATATATATTTGTTTTCGGCGTTATCACGTTTTCGCTTCCGATGCGCTTCCGAAGCTTGCGCGTGATCCCCAAGGGCGCCCCGAAATGCTCCCATGAGGCGCCCTGAGCACACCCAGGAGGCCACAGAGACCCCCATGACGCCTGAGAGGCACCAGTGAGGCTGCAAAGACGCTCCCAGGAGGCCCCGGAGAGCCCTCAGGATACGCCAACTAGGCTCCCAAGAGGTTCGCAAGGAGGCCCAAGAGCCCCGACGAGGCTCCAAAAGGCCCCGTAGAGGCCCCCGAGAATTTCTAAGAGGCCCCAAGAGGCGCCCCGAAGAGGATCCAAGAAGGCTTTCAAGACGCCCTAGACAACCCCCAGGAGATACGCACTATGGTCGCCATCCACATTTGCGGTGAATGCAGAGGAAGCGGCTCCTCTCCTCTTCCTCCCTCGGAGAGCTCCTTGAGAGACTGCCACGAGGCATCCCAGATGGCGGCCAACTCGGAGGCGGCGGTTCCTCTCGCCTCATCCCCCCCTCCTCCCTGATCTCTTTTCTTTCTTCCCTCTTCCCCGATGCGTCCTTTTCCCTCCTCTCTCGTATACATATCTCCTTCAGTCTTTCCCCCCCCTCCTGCCTCATCTAATTGCAGTGTAGGCCCAACTTTGGAAAACCTGGAATTCCCACACATCCTGTTTTCAAGTTCGGCCCTCCTCCATTTACTTCTGTGCCTGGTGTTGGCGTGCCCCAGGATGCGCTTCCGTCTCCCCCATCCACGGCTGCGCGTTCCCCCCGATGTTTCTCGTGTTTTTCGTCTTTCCCCGTCTTTCGTTCCACGTCCTTCTCCTTGTACTCCCGCTCACAGCGGATGTATGTGGGGTTGGAGGAAGGGGGCCGGACGGAGGCGGCAACAGGAGACTCGAGGGACGATTTTTAGGGGGCGCTCTTCGCTTTCTTCTGGGCCTCCGGAAGCCTCTGTTTCCTCGGCACTCCCGCGAAGCTCCAGCGAACATGCCAGGCTCTCGGGCACGATCTTGGAGACCCTCTTAGGCCATCCTGGGACGATTTAGGCGCATCCTGGGCGATGTGGCAGCCTTCTTGTGCTGGTGTTGGGACAACTAGAAAAAAGGGTAGCCGCATCTTTTCTTTCTTTTTGAGTTGTCGCCAGGCCCATCCCGCGACCGCTCCTGGGTTGCGAGTCAAAGGCTTCTTGGAGACCTGGATGGGTCTGTTGGAATGCCTCTTGGAGGCTTCTTGGAAGCAGTATTGAACCCTCTTGGGGCTCTTGCGGGCCTCTTTCGGCCACCTTTTATGCCTCCTGGGGGCTTCTTAGTATCCCTTGGGCCACTTGGGGGCGTCTGAGGGACCTCGTGGAGGCCTGTTGTCGGCGTCGGGGATCATCTTAGGGCAGAGGGCTCGAAATGTCAGCTCGGGTTCCCTCATTTAGGCCCTTCTTCGGGCAATCATCGGGACTTCTTGTGCCGTCTTGGGGCCCTCCTGAGCCGTCTGGGAGCCCTCGGGGGCCGTCTTGACGCTCTCTGAAGGGTTTCCAGGAAACGTCGTGGGCCGTCTTGGGCCATCAGAAGCCATCGACGGCGGCAACGATCATTCCTTCCTAAACTGATGGGAAAAATCTAATCGTGGCCTCCTCAGGGCCTCTTGGGGACGCGCTGGGGGCTCTCTTGGAGCGTATTGGAGGCCTCTTGGGCTTGGTGGGGGCCATCTTGAGCGGATCGCCGTCGGGCTCTCTTGGACCTCTCTGGCACCGTCTTGGGTGCATCTCGAGCTGTCTTGGAGGCCTCCTGGGCCGCTCTGCTGCCTCTTGGATAGGCCCCTTGGGAGGGAGTGCCAACACACCGGGGCATCCGAAAGTGAACCCGTCCAGCTTAGCTAGAGCTTGAGCGCACGCGAAGCGCGCGCTGGTTCTAGTGTAAACATATACATGCATATACATATATATATATAGGTACACACCATGATGTCGACTCACCCGCAGTCGTACACACGAAGGGAACAACAAGGGGGAGAGGGATAGATATGTACGTCGATAGGGAGAGAGGGAGGGAGAGCGAGAGAGAGAGAGAGAGTGGTAGGGATTGCGAAAGACCGATGGTTCTATGAATAGGGACAGGGAGAGAGAGAGAGAGAGAGAGGGAGAGAAGCAACTAGCGAAATAGATGGACCGAGAGACATAGAGAGGGGGGATACGTAGTGGGATATCTATATACAGACATGTAGGGATCTACATCCACGTCGACACACCCACACACACGTTTATGCATACGCAGAGAGATGCCACTAGAAAGCGATATAGAGAACGACATAGAGAGAGAGAGAAAGAGAGAGAGAGAGAAATAAATAAATATAACAAAGCGAGAGAGAGAGAGAGGAGAGGAGAGAGGAGAGAAGAGCAGAGTAGTGCAGAGCAGAGCGACACCACAGAAACACGCACACACCGAGGATGCGCCCAATACGTAAGTGGATGGGAGGGTCGAGGACAAGTGCGCGCCAGGCGCAGCCGCCGCTGCCGCGCCCGGCGAGGCAGCCGCCAGAGGCGCGGCGGCCGGGCTGGGGGCCAGAGCCCAGCTGCGGCCAGGAGGCCGAAGCAGCCGCTGTCGTCGTCGTCGCCGTCGCAGCCTTCTCCTCTTTCTCCTCCTCCCTTCCTCCACCTCCTCCTCTTTCTCCTCCTCCTCCTCCTCCTCCTCCTCCTCCTCCTCCTCCTCCTCCTCCTCCTCCTCCTCCTCCTAGGAGGAGAAGGATGAGCAGGAGTGATATGCCAATGTCTGAGAGGGGAGGGGCGGGGATCGGACCTATGTTCGGCGTCGTGAGTGTAGGTTGTGTGCACCCTGTGGAGATTGCGCATTTGCTTCACGCTCAGCGTGCCTGCAGCACTTACATATGATGCTCTTGGTTTAGTTCTTCTTGGGGATGCCTGAATTAGGACTTCATTCTGAGGGGTGGTGCCGAGGAGGAGGAGGAGGAGGAGAAGGAGGGGGGCCGCCGAGGATCGATTCTGGGCGATGGTTGGCCTTTTTTCTGGGCCGAGGAGATGTTCATGATCATACTCAGCAGTGATCTCGCACGGCGTTATTTCGACCGACCGTGCCTGGGTGTGCTGGGATGTATCGGGCCCCGCTCCACCCCCCCGCCCCCTTCTCTTATGCCGACCGACCGTGCTCCCCCCCGCTGTCCGATTGTGGCCCCCCGCCCCCCCATCGCCCCTGTCCCTTATATTCTACGCCGACCGATCGTGCCCCCCCCTTCTACCCCCGTGGCCCGCGCCCCGCTATTCCGACCGACCGTGTCTCCCCCCGCCCCCCCTCGTGGCCCGACCGCGGCGCCCCGCCCCCTCCCCGCCCCCTCTGGCGATTCCGATGGACCGTGGCCCCCCTTCCCCGCGTGCGCCCTCCCCCCCCTCCCCTTGATCCCCACCGACTCCTGCTGCCTGACCGTGGTCCCCCGTTCCCCCCGCCCCCTCCCCCTGTTCCGACCGCCGCACCCCTCCCCTTGCTCTGGCCGACCGCGCCCTCGCCCACTGCACGACTGTGCCCCCTCGCTCCCTGCCCCCCGCCCCCTTCGTTTCGTTCCGACCGACCGTTTTCCCCCCCCCCCCCGCTTACCCCCATGGCCCTCTTATTCTGACCGGCCGTGCCCCCCGCCCTGCCCCCCGGCGGCTCTTGTCCCCTTCTTCCGACCGATTGCGCGCCCCCATCCCCCCTGTGGCCCCCTGCTTCCCATTCCGACCGGCCGTGCCCCCCCCCCCGCCCGACCGTGCCCCCGCCTTGCCCGAGCGTGGCTTCCCGCTCCCCCCCCCTCGCCCCCTCTTCTCATTCCTACCGACCGTGCCCCCCCTTTCTTCCCCCCGTGGCACCCCTGCCTTGTTGTTTCGACCGACCGTGCCCCCCCCACGTGGCCACCCTCCCTTTCGTCTGACCGCCCGTGCCCCCCCCCCCCACCCTTCCCGACCGTGAGCTCCCGCTCCCCTCCTCTGCCCCCCTCCCTTCAGTCGGAGCGACCGTGCCCCCCCCCTGCCCAATCCCCCCGTGGTCCCCCTCGCTTTCTTCCGACCGACCGTGCCCCCCCTCGCTTCCCCCCTGTGGCTCCCTGCCAAGACGGCCCCAAGAGGCCCCCCAAAGAGCCCTGGGACGGCCGAAGCCTTTCAAGACGCTCGAAGACATCCCAAAAGAACATGAAAGAACCCCAGAACGACCAAACAGGGCACCAATAATGTTTTAAACAAGTCCCCAAAGGACCCCACAGAAGCCCCAGAGACGCCCGCCAAACAACAAAGGCTCCGAAAAGCGCGCAGTGACAAAGCGCTTCGCTCCATACCAGGTTCAGCACTGGAAAATACGCCATTGAAGCCTCGTAGCCTTTCCAGTCATGTTGAGATCGCCTTCAGATCGAAGCCGTGCGCTGCATTCGCACAGCCATTCTGCAATTCGCCGCTCCCTCGGCATGGTCACTCGTCAAAACTACCAGACATTGGCGCCATCGACATCTCCCATTGTCCCGCATCCGTGATTGCATGATCCTTGGCATGTGTGCCTCTTGTTTGAGCACCTATAGGTCAGATGTTGTGTTGCCTCCAGATGCTCGTTTCAATCCGGGGCGCAAAACTTGCCAGCACGGCCCCCGGGACCCCGGCAGGGGGGATCCAGGGACTGGTGCTTAGCAGATTCGGATCGCCGCCGTCGCCGCATCCGTCGCCGCCGTCGCCGCCGTCATCGCCACCGCCGTCGCTACCGTCGCCGTCACCGTTGCCGCGGTTCTCGATCGATTGAGGATCCAGTGTCCAATTGTCGTTCTAATCGGCAGCTCTCGGGCCGCCTGGGGCCTCGACGCCTCGGGGGACTTCCAGCAGAGGCCTCCAGAGGTCTCTGTGCCTTGGCCATCGTCGGCCTCGGGCGGCCCTCGGCCGCCTGCTGCGCGGACGGCGACAGCGGCGGCTGCCGTCGCCGCCGGTGTCGCCGTCGCCGTCGTCGTCGCTGTCGTCGGCGTCGCCTTCGCCGTTGCCGTTGTCGCCGTCGCCACCGCCCCTCATCTGTGAAACTGTTGCCAGTTTTGAAGTTTCAGGGTCATAAAAATGGTGGGGAAGTCTCAGGCGAACGGCCTAGCCCGCCTTTTCGACCGGCTCCGGGGCGAGACAGGGAGGAGTTATTTATAAGGGAAAGGAATGTGGGAGGAGACGGAGGCGGTTGCGGAGGAGGAGGAGGAGGAGGAGGAGGAGGTAGAGGAGGAGGAGGAGGAGAAGAAGAAGAAGGAGGAGGAGAATTTCTGCTCCCTTCTCACCCTTACTGGCCTTTTTTAGAGACCCGACGCCGTGCCTCTGTTCGCAGCGCGGCTCCCCAGAGGTCAGGGAGCTTTCTCCTGGGGGCGTGGTCCTCATCCCGTGTCGCTCTTTGATGGCCCTGGGGCCCAGTCCCAGTCGTGCGATGTTTCGTTTGTTTTCGCTATGGGGTCCCTGGTAGTTCCAACCCTTTCCCCAGGGCCGGTTTTTCATCCGCGGCCGTTTTTTGACGGCCGCAAACGGCCAAAAACAGCCCGTCGTGATGTTTCCGCGACGTGACCACGTCTGGGGTTGGGGGCGCCCCGATGCCGAGGATGACGAGAAACCTTCCGTCGTGGATTTTTCACGGCGAGAGGAGGTCTCCACCGCCTTCGCGCCCGACGCCCAGGCGCAGCCGTCGACCCCAGGCGGTGCGCCGCTGGGGCCGGCGCCGGACAGTGCGGTGCTGGCGGGCGATGCTGCAGGCGGCTGCAGGTGGCCGAGGGTGCTGTGGCCGCTGGACGGGGTGCCACAGGTGGCCAGGAGTCGGCGGCGCGGCCAAGAGGGGGCGGGGCGATGTAGACGGAGGAGGGGGAGGAGAAGGAGGAGGAGGAGGAGGGGGAGGGCGAGGAGGAGGAGGAGGAGAAGAGGAGGAGGAGGAGGAGGAGGAGGAGGAGGAGGAGGAGGACCCGTGCAAACCCAAGGCTCATCAAGGATGTTGAGGGAAGCGTCGCGTTGGAAGACAGACGTTTGAAATTCCCGAACCGTGTCAAAGCACCCTTCTTGGGACGTCAGCGTTATGAATCAACGTTGCTGTTGCGTTTTGGTGATCCTGCATCAGACATTTTCGGAACTGATGTGAGCTCTTAAGACGAATGTGCGCAGTGCTATGGCGAGGGCCACATGCCGAAAAGGTATCGCCCTCCATCCGTGAAGGCTGTGATTTTTTTTGACACGGGTGTGCGCGGCGGTAGGGCGACAGCAACATTTTGACCACCTCCCGCCCTGCTCCATGCGTGAAGCTCTTGCCATCTTTCAAGAAAAATGCGCGCGCTAACTGGCCCGCCCGCCCTTCATCTGTGAATCTGGTGCAATTTTATTTGCTCATAGATCGCGAGGAAGTCTTAGGCGAAAAGCCTGGCCCGCCCCTTCGACCGGCGTCGGGGTGCGACAGGAAGGAATTTCTTAAGAGAGTGCAGGAGCCGCGGTGTCCGCAACGGCGCGGCTGTAGCAGCCGCGGAAGAGCAAACGCAGGCGCTACACCGGTTTCGCCCTAGGGCGGGCCGGGCTGGAAGTGCAGGCGCTGTGGACCTGGGCGCGCGGGAGCGCGGAGACCCTCGCGGCGGCCCGGCACAGCCTCGCTGTGACCTTGCAGCGGAGCAGCGCTGAGGGCCACTGCGCAGCTTGCCAGCCCGCCCAAGCACCGCCCCGCCGGTGGTCTGGCGCCGACGGCGCGGGCGCTGGGTCGGCGACCCGCCGCGCCCGCCACTCAGCTCCAGGCGGCGCTGTGAAGATTGCGCAAGAAGGGGCGCTGGCCAGCGGCGGCCCCGCGCCACTGGAGCGCCGAGCGGGCTCGGCCTCCTCGCTGCCCTCCTCCTCCCCTCTTCTCCGCGCTGCGCCGCTGCCATTTTTTGTCCAGCCCCCGCTCCCTCCCCTCTCTTCCCCTGTCTCCCGCGCCCTCTGCATCCGGCAGGCGCGCCAGCGCCTGAGAGGGGAGGGTCCGGTGGCGCACACCTCCCCGCCGTGCGTCCGTCGCCCCCCCCCGTCGGTTCCTTCCTGCTTTCTCTCTCTCTCTCTCCCCTCCCTCCTCGTCTCCCACTTGGCCTCCCAGCTTCTGTCGTTAGTTGCGCCAGCTCGGGCGCGCGGTGGCGGAAATGGTTGATATGATGTAGTGCGCCACCCGCCTCTCCCCAAGTTGGTTTCGTGCGCAATGCCTCTAACGTTTCCTCGCCCCACGCTGCTGCTTGCTGGCCCGCCCTTCCCTTGTTGCTGAAGGAGGAGGGTCGAAGAGGACGTTCAGAAGGAGGAGGAGTAGGAAGGAGGAGGAGGAGGAGGGGGAGGAGGAGGAGGAGGAGGAGGAGGATTCCTTTCTCGGCTAAGATGCTGAATGCTTCTGCGCCCCACGGCTCTGCAACGAGGCCCTCGCTAATGACTTGAGCACCTGTGCGACACTAGCGAGCCAGAGCCTAAACCGTTACGGACAGGACCACGATTGGATACAACAGGCGCGATGGGAGACAGAGAGCTCCATAGATGAGGCAAGAACAAGGATGAGGAACGGAATATAACGAGATAACGCAACAACATGCCAAGAGACAGACAACGGAACGAAAGACACTGGACAATTGCGCGGCAATATTCGAAACAAGGCGAAACGATAGCGACAGCGGTGCAAAATTTTAGCGGAGAGATACCTGGGCATCACGGCGCCACGGCTGTCGACCATCCTCCTCATTCTCCTCTCGCGCCCTACCCCGGCCCCATTGCTAACTACACCGCTCCCGGAGTTAAAAGTGTTAAAGGCATTTCGGGGTAAATGTGGTAACGTTAACGCAGCAGGAGGTGTCTGTATTCGGCATGTGGGCTCGACAGCCGGCCACACCTAGTTGCGAAGTCCGCGTCTCCCGCGAGGGCCCAAACCAGCCCGTCCAGCTCTCGTTCCCACGTCCCTGTCCCTGTGTGATACTATGTTGTGATATTTCCCTTCGCTGTTTGCACTAATCATGGACTTGGCGCCCTCCGGGCGCTCGAAAGAGGAAGACAGAGGAAGGGCAGGAGGAGGAGGAGGAGGAGGAGAAGGAGGAGGAGGAGGAGAGAGGGGCGATGGGCCGGCATGCCTCCGATCCCAAGGCCGCCGCGAGAGATTGAAATTACCCCAAGGTGTACGGTTCTTACGACTGTGCGTCGCGCCAGCCAGGAGGGAGGTGGGAGGGGGGCAGGAGTGAAACAACTACTTGTCATTGTACTCGCATGTTTGACAGCAGCTGTACGTGGACCACGCACGATATGTCTTGGAAGCGTTCTGCGACTTCCCATGCTGTGGAATGAATGTGTCCCAGCTGTCTTTGACCAGAACTGAATGTGGGGGCCAGACAGGTCAGGAACTCCCTCAAGCACGTCGCGAAGGTACTGGGGGTGGACAGAACACGTGCCCTGCGAACGGGGGCGAGGGACTTGGTGCACGTGCCCAAATGGCTTGAGGGAGAAGTAAGAGGATAAGGAGGAGGAGGAGGAGGAGGAGGAGGAGGAGAAGGAGGAGGAGGAGGAGGAGGAGGAGGAGGAGGAGGGGGACGTGGAGGAGGAGGCGGAGGGGAGGGAGCAGGAGGAGGAGGAGAGGAGGAGGAGGAAGAGGAGGAGGAGGCGGAGGAGTAGGAAGAGGAGAAGGAGGAAGAGGAGGAGGAGAGGGGAAAGATGAGGGGAGGAGGAGGAGACAGAGGAGGAGGAGGGGGACGAGGAGGGGGAGGAGGACGAGGACGAGGACGAGGAGGACGGGGAAGCGGACGAGGACGAGGACGAGGAGGAGGAGGAGGAGGATGCCGAGGAGGAGGCCGAGGTAGAGGAGGAGGAGGAGGAGGAGGAGGAGGGAGGAGGAGGAGGAGGAGGAGCAGGAGGACAACGACAAGGAGGAGGATGAGGAGGAGGAGGAGGAGAAGGAGGAAGAGGATGATGGTGATGATGCTGTTGATGATTATGATGATGACGATGATGATGATGATGCTGATGATGATGATGATGATGATGATGCTGATGATGATGATGATGATGATGGTGAGGATGATGATGCTGATGCTGATTATGATGATGATGGTGATGAATATGCTGCTGCTGATGATGATGATGGTGGGGGTGGTGGTGGTCGTGATTGTGACGATGATGAAGATGAAGTGGATGATGACGAGTTTGCTGCTGTTGTTGATGATGAGTTTGCTGATGATGATGATGCTGATGATGGTGATGATGCTGCTGCTGATGATGATGATGGTGATGATGATGATGATGATGCTGATGATGATGATGGTGAGGATGATGATGCTGATGCTGATTATGATGATGATGGTGATGAAGATGCTGCTGCTGATGATGATGATGGTGGGGGTGGTGGTGGTCGTGATTGTGACGATGATGAAGATGAAGTGGATGATGACGAGTTTGCTGCTGTTGTTGATGATGAGTTTACTGATGATGATGATGATGATGATGCTGATGATGTTGATGATGCTACTGCTGATGATGATGGTGATGATGATGGTGATGGTGATGATGATGCTGATGATGATGAAGAAGAAGAAGAGGAAGATGAGGGGGTGGATGACGAGGAGGAGGAGGAGGAGGAGGAGGAGGAGGAGGAGGAGGAGGAGGAGGAGGAGGAAGGGGAGAGGAAGACGACAACTATGAGAGGAGGAGGAGGAGGAGGAGGAGGAGGAGGAGAGGAGGAGGAGGAGGAAGAGGAGGAGGAGGAGGAGGAGGAGGAGGAGGAGGAGGAGGAGGAGGAGGAGGACTGCGTGTTGTAAGCTTGCCCATCGTGTGTAAAGAAGGAGGAAGAGAACAACCAGGCGGACCGAAGGCCGAGGAGGAGGAGGAGGAGGAGGAGGAGGAGGAGGAGGGGGAGGGATAGGAGGAGGAGTAGGGCGAAGAAGAGGGTTCGTGGCTCTCCGAGAACCGAGGAAAGCAATTCATCATAAACATTGCAATGTGTGGAGTTTCGCGCGGATTTTTCGGATCGGCACTGGGCCCCAGGCCCCTGGCGCGCGGCGGGCGCCCGGGGCGGCGCAGCCTGGGAGTCGGCCAAAGAAATCCCACCCGAAGGGGCCTCCGAAAGCGTATGCCTGTAGGCCACCCCCAGGGGGGAGAGGAGAGCCGCGCTTCGCGCGCCGCCGTGGGGGCCACGGCAGCTGCCCGTCCGTACAGGGGCGCGGCGCGTGGGCGCGATGGGCAGTGTGACGTTCCACTCCAGGCATTTCGCTAAGACAGCAGGAGCGTGGACATCGAAGGAGACAGCTCAACAATGGCCGCATTTGCTCCTGGGTGGGCGTCACGCGCCTCTCGCTCCGCCTGGTGGCCCCAGTGCCCCGACAGAGGAGCCAGTGGGCAGCGCCCCGACGCGGCACGGCCAGAAGCCCTTCGCCGTCACAGGTACGCGCTGCGCCGCTGGCCCCAAGCAGCCTATGCTGCTCGGCGACTGGGAGGGAGGGAGGCAAGGAGAAACGGGCGGGTGACGACAGCGCAGGTTGAAGGCCAGGGCCGGCGGGACGAGTCGGGCGGGCAAGGACAGAGGCGGGGCAGCAGACTGGGAGTCGCAGCGACCCGCCCGACGCGGGGCTGTAGGAGGACGAGGAGGACGGGGCAGGCAGATGGGCCGGGGCAGGGGCTGGGGAACGAAATGGGCCGTCCGCCGACAGGAGGGCGCTGGACGAGGCACCGCCAGAGCCAGCGCCCGGCCCGGGCCACGGCGCGGAGGCGCGCGGAGAGCTCTCGAGCCGCCACGGTCAGCCCGTCGCCATCGCCGTCGCTGGCACCGTCGCCGTGGCCGCTGCCGCCACCGCGACACCGTCGCCGCCGCCGCCACCGTCATCGTCGTTGTCGTCCTCGCCATCGCCGTCGCCATCGCCGTCGCCATCGCCGTGGCCGTCGTCGTCGTCGTCGCCGTCGTCGTCGCCGTCGTCGTCGCCGTCGTCGCCGCCGTCGTCGTCATCTTCGTCGCTGTCGTCGTGGTCGTCGTCGCCGACGTTACCGTCGCCGTCGCTCGCGCTGTCGCCGCCGCCGCCGCCGTCGCCGTCGTCGTCGTCGCTGCCGCCGTCGTCGTCGTCGTCGTCTTCAGCGACGTCGTCGGCGTCGTCGTCGTCGTCGTCGTGCGTGCGTGTCATGGTCGCGCCACGTCGCCTGCGGTGGCCCTCGGCCAGAGTGACCTTCGGCGTGGGCCCGCAAGGGTCCACCCCGCACTGGCCGCCTCCTGCTCGGCAGCGCCGGCAGCGGGCGCCTGGCCGTCGGCGTGCGGAGCAGAGATGACCCCTGCCGCCGCGGGGGTGCCGCCGGCGCCGCTGCCGCCGCCTCGAGCCGCCGCTGCCGTGCCGCCAGCCGCGCTGCCGTCAGCGCCGCGCCTCTGCTTGGTCGTGCGCTCCTGCGCGGTCTGCTGCTCCTGCTTGGCTCATCCTTTTCCTTCCACTGCGCATCCTGCGTGGCGGCCTGCTGCTTCTGCGTGACGGCCTCGATGAGCTTCGACTGCGCATCCTTCTCCTTGATCGTGGTGCGGCTCCTCCTGGAGAGCTCGAAACCTGAGATTGTCGGACTCGTCACAGTTCCGCTCCTCGACAGAGGCGAATTGCTGCTCGTTCAGGTTGAGCCCAGACGCCGCTGGCTCCGCCTCGCCGTCGCCCTTGACCCTTGACCGCGGGGCGGAAGCCCTCGGCCCTGGCGAGCGCAGCTGTGGCCGCGCGCTTGGTGGCCTCAAGCTTGGCAACCGCCAGCGCCGCCTCCTGCTCCTTCTTCTCCGCCGTCGCGAGCTGGCGACGGAGGCGCACGACCTGCTCGACGAGCTGGCCGTGCCTGTTGGCGGCCGCCCTCGGCGCGCCGTCGGCCTGCTTGACCTGGTCGACGTCCGAGGTGGGCGCCTGCGCCGGCACGGTGTCCCAGCCGCGCCTCCTGGGCCTTCCGCGCCGGGGCGAGTACGGGGGCGGCGCTCTGGGCGGCCGCCTGCTCGAGCAGCGCCGTGGCCTCGGCCTTCTGGCCCTTGGTCGTGTTGCCACGGCGACCGCCGCGAGGCGTGTCCACGGACTTCGTCTCGTCCTCGGTGTCACCCGTCGCCCGTCGTCGCGCTCCTGACTGGGGGAGCGGGACCTGCGGGCCTCGGGAATGAGGAGGCGAGCCCAGCATGTGCACGACAGACAGCCTCAATCATTCAACAACAACTTGTCATTGTATTCGCATGTTTGACAGCAGCTGCACGTGGACCACGCACGATATGTCTTGGAAGCATTCTGCGACTTCCCATGCTGTGGAATGAATGTGTCCCAGCTCTCTTTGACCAGAACTGAGTGTGGGGGCCAGACAGGTCAGGAACTCCCTCAAGCACGTCGCGAAGGTACTGGGTGTGGATAGAAAACGGGTCCTGCGAACGGGGGCGAGGGACTTGGTGCGCGTGCCCAAATGGCTTGAGGGAGAAGTAGGATGATGATGATGCTGATGATGATGATGATGCTGATGATGATGATGATGATGATGATGATGATGATGATGATGATGATGATGATGATGATGATGATGATGATGATGTGGTGTGGTGAGAGGAGGAGGAGGAGGAGGAGGAGGAGGAGGAGGAGGAGGAGGAGGAGGAGGAGGAGGGGGGAGGGGGCGAAGGAGGAGGAGGAGGAGGAGGAAAAGGAGGAGGAGGAGGAGGGGGAGGGGGACGGGGAGGAGGAGGCGGAGGATGAGGATGAGGAGGAGGAGGAGGAGGAGCAGTAGCAGGAGCAGGAGCAGGAGCAGGAGCAGCAGCAGCAGCAGCAGCAGGAGCAGCAGCAGGACATGGAGCAAGATGAGTTGAGCAAACGGAGGACGAGGAAGACGACGACGACGAAGGCGCTCGCGCCATGGCCTTCGACTGCATGACAACCATTGGGGATGTGAGGGCGCGACCGCGGGCGGAGGCAGGTGAGCCGCGGGCGATCGCCATGCGTCTCCCGCCAGGGGAGTGGCCCGGGCGGGGCGGGCCTGGGGCTCGCCGACAGGGCCTCGTAGCCGCCCGAGGCTCGCGCCAAGGGAAGGGAAGGACGGCGGAGGCGACGGAGGAGGACCAGGAGGAGGAGGAGGAGGCGGAGGAGGAGGACGAGGAAGAGGAGGAGGAGAAGGAGGAGGAGGAGGAGGAAGAGAAGGAGGAAGAGGAGGCGGAGGAGGAGGAGGAGGAGGAGGAGGAGGAGGAGGAGGAGGAGGAGGAGGAGGAGGAGGAGGAGGAGGAGGAGGAGGGCGAGGAGGAGCAGGCTGGGGCGGAGGGCGCTCCAGCCGCGCCCAGGTCCGTGGCTGGAGCGCCGAGCCGCTGTCTCCAAGGCGCGATGGCGAGAGGGAGGGCGGGTGGTGGAGCCCCCCGCGGCAGGCGGAGCCCCCGCGCCTGGAGGAGGCAGCCGGGGCGGCGCCGGAGGCGGGGTTCGAGTAGGAATTCGTTTCTTAAGTGAGCCGTTTCAAAAATAAATGGTTAGCCAGTGTGGGCCCCAAACAGTGGGCTATTTGCAGCATATGCGGTGCAATCTGCGTGGTGCAATGTATACAATGCAACCGATGTAGTGCAATCTATGCGGTGCAACCTGTGTGGTGCAATTCACTTTCCGAACTTGAAGTTGTCAACTCCACTGCTCGCGCACTCATCCCACCCACCCACCAGCAACATGGTTCGCAAAACCCATGCGGAAGCGATTGCGATGAGTGCTTGGTGTTGGCTGGTGCATCTCTGCGGCCGCGCTAGCCCGCGCATGCTCGTGCGCGCAGCAGCCAGCTGGTTTGGCGCGTCCGACGCGAACGCGGTGGCGGTGGCTTCTCGGCGCATCCCAGCGGGCACTTCAGTGCGAGTCGTCGACTTGGACGGGCGCGGTATCATGGCAACGCCGACAACGGTAGACACGATGATGATGAACGTAGTGATGCTGGTGGCGATGTTGATAACGACGACGGGGCAGCCAGTGACGGCACCGATGCTGATTACGCTGGCGACGATGACGGCGTCTTCGCGCCGGTGATGAAGGTTTTGGAGCGAGTTCGACATGCGCGCGCGGCAGACGCGCGAGAGTGGCCCGCATGGTATTATTTGACACGGATCGTGCCACCCCAGCACGCTCGCAAGGGCGTCCGAACGATTTCGACATACGCGCGCAAGGGCGTCCGAACGATTTTGACATACGCGCGCGCACGAAGCTCGTTTGGCAGAATTCTACGAAACACGTTGAAAACGAACGGTTTTCTCCAGCATTCGCAAAATCGCGCGCGCAAGCTTGTTTTGGAAACCGTTGTTGCGAAACCTTGTATATATCTTTGTGTATATAACAAAACAAAGTGGGACGCTCGATTTTGAAATCCTTCCGACGCCGAAGGTTTTTGAAGGATTGTGGCACGCGCGCGCGACGACGCGCGCGTGCGCACTTCGTCATATTTTTTCGGCGTGGCTAGGGATTCTCGAACGCTTGTGATTTTGGAAAATCAGATGCGCGCGAGCATATACTTTTTTGAAGAGGATGGCGGGGGGGCGGATACAGGCCTGCCCGGGATGGTCTGAATTCATGTTTAGGATGGATGATGGGGCAGAATCGCGTGTAATTTGCGATGCGGAAGGGGGGGGGGGGGGGCGATAATCAGGGGGGTCGAGTTTATTGTTTTCGTGCAGAATTGAAATTATTTGCGATGTCTCCTATCTCATGCGATCTATGCGGGGCAGTCGATGCGGTGCAAGTAGTTTCAGTCCGCAGTGAGTTGTCAACCCGCATGCTCTTGCAAACGTCCCACCCACCCACCCGCAACTTGGTTTGCAAAACCCACGCGGTGGCGATTGCGATGCATGCTTGGCGTTGGCTGGTTCATTTCTACGGTCGCGCCAGCCCTAGCACGCGCGCGCAGCGGCAAGCTAGTCCGGCGCCACAGACGCGGCCGCGGTGGCGCTGACCGCTGGGCGCATCCCAGCGGAAACTTCACAGCGAGTCGGCAACTTGCGCGGGCGCGGTATGGCAACGCAACAACGGCAGGCGCGACGATGATAGTGGCGATGTTGGCGACGATTTTCGCACCGACGAAGGCGCGGCCAGTGCTGGCGCCGATGCTGGCCACGCCGGCGACGACGGCGGCGCCCTCGCGTCGGTGATGAAGGTTTTGGAAAGAGTTCGACGCGCGCGCGTGTCCGACGCGCGAGAGAGGCCCGCGTGGCATTATTTGACACGGATCGCGCCCCCCCCCCCCCCCCCCCAGCACGCGCGCGAGGGCGCGCGAATGCTGTCAGCGCGCGGCGCCAGAAACCCGCCTGGCATAACTCCATGAAAACACTGAGAAAACCGTGTGTTTTTTCTCAACAGAGTTCGCAGGAGCGCGCGCGCAGTCTTTTCTTTGAAAGCCGATGTTGCGAAGCCACGTGTTTCTGAATGTTCGTGGACACTCGGCAATGCAATCCCTGCGATAACGAAGGTGTTCGAAGAGTTTCGGCGCGCGCGCGAGACGACGCTCGCGCGTGCATTTCGCCCCATTTCTTGCAACTGGCTCTCGCGACGGCACGCGCGCAAAGGCGTTCGAAAGATTTCTTCGCGCGCGCGAAGCCCGTATGGTAGTGTGGTCATAAAATGTTCAAGAAAATACGATTGTCTTAATAATTAGCAAAAGCGCGCACGTTGTTTGTTGTTGCGTGCGCTTGTGCGCGTGTACGTGCGCATGTGCGCGCGCGTTTTAGGGCGCTCGATTCCGACGCCCTTCCGAAGCCGAAGATGTTTGAAGGATTCCGGCATGCGCGCGCCACGACGCGCGCGTGTGCATTGTGTTTCTTTTGTTGCAAGGGATTTGTGAAAACTTAGGTTTTCCTGGGCAGCGACTGCGCGCGCAGTTCTCCAGGGGCGGCGGGGGGCGGGGGTCGATGCCGGCTCGGCCGGGGTGGCGTGAATTCATGTTTGGGATGGGCGATGGGACAGAATCACGCGCACATTGCAATGCGAAGTGGAGGGCCGATATACCTGGGGGGAGGTGGTGCAAAAAGGATAATTGATTTGAGCGAACGAGTTGGCGCGCCCCGCGCCCTTGCGCGCGCCCCGCCCACCCGCCTGCAGCTTGGTTTGCAAAACCCATGCGGCGGCGATTGCGATGCATGCTTGGCGTCGGCTGGTGCATCTCTGCGGCCGCGGCAGTCCTAGCGCGCGCGGCGGCCAGCTAGTCCGGCGCCACAGACGCGGCCGCGGTGGCACTGGCCGCCGGGCGCGCCCCAGCGGGCACTTCATTGCGAGTCGGCAACTTGGGCGGGCGCGGTATCACGGCAACGCCGGCTACGGTAGACATGGCGTTGATACTGGCGACACGCGGCGATGTCCGCGCCGACGGAAGGCACGGCCAGCGCGAGCGCCGATGCTGATCGCGCCGACGACGACGGCGTCGCCCTCGCGTCGGCGGCGATGGTACGCGCGCGCGCGCGGCCGACGCGCGAGAGCGGCCCGCGTGATTTCATTTCGCGCGGATCGCGGCGCCCCAGCGCGCGCGCAAGGGCGCGCGAATAATGTCGGCATGCGGCGCCAGAGGCCCGCTCGGCAGCAGTCCGTGAAAATGTTGAACAGGCCGATTGCTTCCCAAAGAATTCGCAAGAGCGCACGCGCAAGCTTTTTGATGTTGCAAAACAATTGTTTATAGAACGGTGTCTTGGACATTCTACTTGGAAGTCGCTGCGAAACAGGCGGTTTTTGAAGGAGTTCGGCAGGCGCGCGCGCTTCGCCCAATTTCTCGCGAAGGGTTCTCGCGACGGCGCGCGCGCAAAGGCGTTCGAGCGATTTCGGCGCGCGCGCGAAGCCCGCTTAGAAGTACATTTTAAACAGATGTCGAAATACTTGCGGTTTTCTTAGCATCCGCAAGCGCACGCGCGCAAGCTTTTGTTTGACCGGATTTTGGCGCGCGCGCGACGACGCCCGCGCGCGCACTTCGCCCCGCTTGTCGCGCGGGGCTCGTGCGAACTTATGGTTTTTAGGAACGAGTGCGCGCGTGGATAATTTGTTTTGCAGGGGGGGGCGGGGTGGGTGGGTCGAACCAGGCTGGGCTGGGATGGTATGATTTTTTCTTTAAACAAAAAAAAAAACAAAACATCATTTTGCGGATGGGCGATGGGGCAGAATCGCTGATGCGGATCCAAAAAGGCGCCCCGATAAAGCCCGGGGCGGGGGCGGGGGCGGGGGGGCGCAGCCCCTTCTTAGTGATTTGCACGAACGGGCTGGCGCGCCCCATGCTCTTGCGAACATCATCCCACCCTCCCGCCAGCAACTTGGTTTGCAAAACTCATGCGGCGGCGATTGCGATGCATGCATGGCGTTGGCTGGCGAGTCTCTGCGGCCGCGCCAACCCTTGCGCGCGCGCAGCGGCCAGCTAGTTTGGCGCCGCCGACGCGGCCGCGGCGGCGCTGGCTACCGGGCGCATCTCAACGGGCACTTCACTGCGAGTCGGCAACTTGAGCGGGCGCGGTATCACGGCAACGCCGACTACGGTAGACGCGGCGTTGATACTGGCGACGCGCGGCGATGTTCGCACCGACGAAGGCGCGGCCAGTGCGAGCGCCGATGCTGATCGCGCCGGCGACGATGACGACGCCCCCGCGTCGGCGATGAAGGTTTTGGAATGTGCTCGACATGCGCGCGCGGCCAACGCGCGAGAGCGGCCCGCGCGGCCGTGCAAAGACGCGGGCCCCGCGCCCCCCCCCCCCCCCCCAGGCGCGCGCGCAAGGGCGCGCGAAGGATGTCGGCCCGCGGCGCCAGAGGCCCGTTTTGCAGAATACAATGAAAATGTCGAGAGCAAATGGTTTTCGAGAGAATTCGCACGAACGCGCGCGCAAGCTTTTGTTGAAATATGACGTTGCGAAACCATGGGTTTTCGAATGTGTTTGTGGTATTCGGTATTGGAATCGCCGCGACGCCAAAAGGTTCTTGAAGGATTTCGGCACGCGCCCGCGACGACGCGCGCGCGTGCGTTTCGTCCGATTTTGCGCCGAGGATTATCGCGACGGCGCGCGCGCAATGGCGTCCGAACGATTTCGACATGCGCGCGCGAAGCCCGTTCGGTCGCATTTTCCGAGAGTGCTGAACAAAACCTGTGGTTTTCTTAGAATTCGCAAGGTCGTGCGCGCTTCTTTTTTTGTTTTGGAATCAGCGCTGCGAAACCATGCGTTCTGTTTTAATGTTATTGTTTGGGCGCTCGATATTGAAATCCTTCCGAAAGGATGGTTTTGACGGATTTCGGCATGCGCGCGCGACGACGCGCGCGCGCACTTCGCCCCAGTCTTTGTTAAGGGATTCGTGCAAACGTATGTTGTTTGAGACACGAGTGCGCGCGCATAT